TGCAAAAACTCGTCTGAAATTACATTGACATTCCCAGGTTTGAGGAAGTGAGAGTGATGATGAACCTATTCAGGTTAGCCGGAGATATGACCCATCTCCTCAGCATCATTGTTCTTCTTTTGAAGATCCATGCTACCAAGTCTTGTTCTGGTATTATATTTCTTGTTTCCTATTTTCATTTCTATGAATTTTGTTGCCCATTTATTATGATTTTGTCATCAATGTTGTTTTTGTTTGATTTTTTGATGTGGGTATTGATTATATGTTAATGGGTTTCTCTCATTTCTGAGTATTTAGTTGAAACATTTTGTAAGATTATGCATGTTGGATTGTTTTATTGATGAAGTTTGGGAATTTTTGATCAGGGATTTTGTTATAATTCATAAAGTTTTTGTTTTGTGGTTGATTTTATTGATTTTGGTTTGTTTGATCATGATTCATGCACATTTGGGAAGAAGAGGTGGGTAATTAGGAAATTGGTGAACTAATTTTTATTTGTTCACCTTGACCTAAAATGGCGGCATATAGGAAGAAATTTGAATGATATTGTCTCCATTCTCCAATTGTTCCATTAGTATGGTGTAAGAAGGCTTAAATTATTGGAAATTGATGATCAAAATTGATAAATTGTCACTCCTTAATCATTGCAATATAAAGTATCAGATGGGTATGTATTGTGTATCCGATTAAGAATATTTGGGAAACAACCTCTCTATTATAACGGAGCTGGTTTAAAGGTATTGGGGTGATTTTGATTTTGATTCATGGGTGATTTTGATGATTTAAATCTTGGTGCAATTTCATGTTAAGAACTTTTGCCTGTTTGAGAGTTTGCTGAATTTTTGTTTGTGCTGAACAATTTGTTATATATTTCTCCAGGGATATCTCTGAAAACCCAGGAATTATATGTTATTGTCTTCTTGACCCGGTACTTGGATCTCTTCACCAGATTTGTGTCGCTGTATAACACTGTAATGAAGATAGTCTTTATTGAAACATCATTCGCTATTGTTTGGTACATGAGATATCATAAAGTTGTGAAACAAACATACATCATGAACGAAGATACTTTTAAGCATTACTTTTTGCTGCTTCCATGCTTTGGGTTGGCTCTTCTGCTTCACAACGAATTCACTTTGATGGATGTAAGTCATACTGTCTGTTCTTACAATTAATTTGCAAGTCTGTACCGATTTTATTGATGTCGTAACAATAATCTTGAACAAAATCTATAGCCTCTTTTTTTTTTTTTTTTTTTTTTTTCCAAATAAGGCTAGTAGCAATAGTAAGCAAATTGTTAATACCTAGAGAACTAAAGCACTCCTGCAATAAATGAAATCGTGACAGACAGATAAATTACCTTTTATAACATATATGCTCACATGAATGCTTGATACTTAACTACAAATGATGTGCAATGAACAAATGAACCGATGAACTAATTTGAAGAGTCTATTGTGGAGGATATTATGAATAAGTTAAAATTTTCTAATAGTAGATAGATCTCCCTTCATTTTCCTGTGGTATCCCACTATCCCTGACAGAAGGTAGACCCGATATCATGTTCACTAAACAGTTCATGTTTCTTTTAGGAGCTAAGTAGCAAAAACAAGAGCCTGTCAGTACATTGAAGAAGCTTATAAGTCTTTGTATTAGAGACTAGCTTTCACTTTAGCTCGACTTTCACTCCTTCACTTATTCATGTTTACTGTAATTTGTCGAGACTCGAGACTTGATAGCTTCTTTTATTAGAAACATACTATCAGTGTTTGATGAATTGAGTGTTGCTTATTCTTCATTTTTCTTGAATCCTGATTCCTAAATGTGTATGGTAGGTTTTGTGGACCTTTTCATTGTATCTGGAAGCAGTTGCCATCTTGCCACAACTGGTATTGTTGCAGCATTCAAGAAACATCGACAACTTGACTGGAAATTATGTGTTCCTCCTGGGGTATTTTCCCTCCATTTCACCTTATTCAGTCATTCAATTTGGTTTAAGCTTTGTTTGTTCAAATAGAGTTATCATAATGAATATTGTTTCATTCTTCGTAACTGCTGTTATTGAGATTTTTGTATTTGGTTAGCATCCTTCTTCCTATTCTGTTAAAATTCCTTCTAGCCTAACCTGATTTGTTATACTGGAGGTTGTTTTTGTATGACTGTATGAGCATTAATTTGTGAAAGAAATTGTTTGGAAAACTCAGAAGCCATGTATTGGCTTAATCTGCCAAGATCCAAGGTTGGTTGGGGAGTTCATGTTTTACTTGCTCTGATGTTGTTTTGCATGATATCGTGATGTAACTCACCCCCGACCTGTCTTCGGCCCTTTATTCCAAACAGCGTTATGAAATGCTTTAAGGACTGAAGCACACAATCAAGTAAAGATTTGAAGAACATATGTTCAAACTTAAACTAATATTTTGTAACAGAAATTTTAGTGCCACGAATCATCATTTAACTTTTCTACCTTATTAGTCTTTTTTTTTCCCTTATTTTGAAGGGCTGCATAATCCTTTTTAATCCCTCTACTCCCTTATCCTTCCAAATAATAATTATTTTGCTTAATTTGCCTTTTTTGTCCTTTAAATGAAAAAGAGGTAATTTTTTGAGTTATTGTTGTTTATAATGTAGGGGAAAAATGTCTTCAATATTAATTTGAGTACTTGCAAGATTTTAGGTACAGATAATATACATTTATATAATCATATGAAAATCCAATTGGTGCATTGCATGGAGAAAATCTAGTTGCCAATAATCTGTATCTGCTCCACAATGATCTGAATTTCTGTTTCTGTTTCTGTCTCTTAATGTGTTAAGGGTGGAACATAGATTTTTTTTTTTTGACCTTTTAACCTGTGCTCCGTAGTTTTAATTTCTGGTCCAAAAATATATAGATCACACTTGTTTCTATATATACCTTCCACTCCAGAGTTAACTAGAGTATTGAATATACCTTCCACTCCAGAGTTAAAGGCAACAGCCTCTATGCAACTACCAGAGTGAGACTGTGTATGGTTTTCAATTCTAACTCCCCTAGGCACTGCCGTGGTTTAGGATGTTGCCTAATCTAAAAAATCTGAGCAGTGTTATGGTGTAATGTAATGTCATTATGTTCTCTTTACCAAGATTTCTTTGAAAGGAGGCTTTGGGGGTTGTACCTCCTAATTGTATATTTTATTGGTCAACCATTCAAATAAGATTCCATATGGTGGATGGATTTAAGTGATTCATCTTTTATCCCTTTTTTGCAGTGCATATCGTGCTCTTTATGTTTTGAACTGGATATATCGGTACTTTTTGCAAGATCACAGGGCTCGCTGGATTCGTAAGTCTTGAGAAGTTTCATGTTCATTTCATTGATTTTTCATGTCCATTTCTGAGAAAATAACTTAAATATAAAATCATTTGCAGCTTGGATATCAGGTCTGGTCCAGACAGCTCTTTATGCCGACTTCTTTTATTACTACATACTCAGGTATGGAGTATTCCTTTTCTGCATGATTCCCACCTCATTCCCAAAAATAGAAAAAGAGAGGGGGGCGGGGGGGGGGGGGGGGGGGGGGGGGGGGGCAGGAATTAAAATTCAGAAAATGCTGTAGTCATGCCAATCAATTGGAGCTGCAGGGCATATATAGATCATGGGTGCGAGATCATGGATTTTTTACTGTGATTGATGAATGCAGTTTCTCTATACCTTTTCTTTTTTGTTGTCATGAAGAGCAATGTGGTCTATAGTATGTTGCTTTCTTTTCCCCTAATGTGAAAACCCATGCCAATAAGAAATAAAGTGCTTGCCATGTTCTTATATAGATATGTGACCGAGCTTGCTTAATTATTAGTGGGGCAATTGTCGGTGTAGCTGGCCTTCCTAAAAATTTGCAGTATAACTTGAAGTTTGTAACAATCACCAAGTTGATTTTATCTGACAAAGATTGTTTGAATCTACTAATAAGTTCAAGTGCAAATCGCCATCATACTTTGATCAAAATCCTGATTTCTTTTTGAATATTATCCGATTTTTTACTTTCTAATCAGTAACTTGTTTGTTTTTTGCAGCTGGAAAAAGCATGAGAAGCTCAAACTTCCTGCTTGATGTATGGAGCAGCTTTGATTCAGCCTTATACATGATCAGAAAGTGAAAAATATGGTTCTAATGACACCGAAACTCGACAAACTCCAGAATATATATATTAAAAAAACAAAAACACTTATCATCAAAAAGCTACAGGATATCTTATATTTTCTTATCATATCATAATGTTTAGGAGACAGTTGTTATATGCTTCTTCTAACCTAGCAGCATTACTACTGCTGTTACTAGTTTAATTTTGTTTAGTGATAGAACCATGATAACTATTAACAAGTTATCAATTATCTTAGCTTGCAGTTCATATTTTCTCCTTTCCTTTTTCCGAGTCTCTGATTTTGTACAAGATTTTACTGGACTGAGAGTCTATCTAATGCTATACAGTTTTCTCCTAAACTAATGGACCAAGTCAACGTGTTTTCAGCACAAAAATAATTTTTGTGAATTTTCAACAAGTTGTCAAATATTTCAGCAGCTCGCAATTTGTTTACAATTTGAGTTTAGCTTGGTGAGAAGTTTCATTTGGCTTGCCTTCACTAACACTACAAGGTCTATAATAATGAGAATTTTTGGCTTAAAATCAGTCACTTTACCAAAAAAAAAGCTGTTTGAGCTCAGCCAGTTTGACTCTAAAGCCAAAGCAAACTTCAATTTTATCTACCTTCCGAAAAGAGGAAGTAGGATGGAGAGCTCAGATTTGCAAGATATATTGCCAAGTTAAAAACTCAAGGTTTGATTTGTGGCTCAGAATGAATTAACGAATATCAAACTCTTTGAGTTGCTTATTAGTGGTTAATTGGTTATGCTCGTTGTAAACCTTAGTTCAGTTCATTTATCAACAAGGTGCCAAAATGATAAACGCCATGTATTGTCAGCAAGGCCAGCTTTTATATGAAACAAACCACACAAGTGATTATCTGTCTAGTTTAAAGGCATAACATATATAGCCAATCTTGGCTCAGGCACTAAACAGATCTTCCTTTCATCAATAATTTACGAGTCAATTCAGTATCTAAAGTTTGAAAGTAAGAAATACAACATGCCTGAAGGAACCTAAGGGTTCTGCAACATACATCTAAGATGCCCAAATTGAAACGGTATACAGAGCATATTGGAGAAGACTACAAAGCCAAAATTCTCCAATAGTCAGGAGGCCTATAAATCTTGTAACACCACTCTTCTTTTATATGTACAGACCTTTAACAAGTCGTCATGAATTATGTGATCAATTTTGACAATCGGAAGAGCTTACTCCACCTCAAATGAAAGAAAATAAGCATCTATACCAGCCTTCTTATCCCTCAGATTAAAACTCTGCAAATTCATTTCTCAGGTTTGCTTTTCAACGATTATCAAGGACAACTCACAAATTTGATTCCTGGATATTTGTGTGGGATGTAGCATCTGAAGATGACTCTGTAGTTGTCACATTGGTAACTGTGGATACTGAATGGCTAGAGCTAGCACCTTTGTCCACCTGTTGTTTCCGCAGATACTCTAGTTGACTCTGTAACAACTGAGGCAGAATATCGTGAAGGTTAGTCATAAAACATAACAGGTAAGCACTAGCAAATAGATAAAGCTGTAAAAGATAAACATAAAACAAACTCATAAATAATTTCATTATTACTGGCACCCATAATTATGGGTGGAAGGATACAGAATATCTCAGATAACTGCTCAAAATCAAGCCAACAGAGACCACAGTACATAAATCATGTGTTGATACATAAGAAAAATGTCGGGATTTGAGAGCATTAGACAATCATCTTCGTAGAAAGGCAGAAATATAGACGATCTGCATCATATTCCACCCCAAAACCAACCTAAGGGTTTCTGTGGAGAAGATCCCTGGGCATATGTCTGTCTATTATGTGAGACTGTAAAGAACTAAAGAATAAGAGCCTCAACAATGGTTTGCTATGACACTGGGCCAATACTATGATGATGGATCGATAGCACAGAAGGCAATTATGTTTCCATAGACAAGCCTGTTGATATCTTATACTACCTCCGTTACATATAATGTGCAACATAAACATCGATACGGACTTATAGACAAAATTTGTATGTGAGTGATAAATGGAGAGAGAAATATAAAAAAGCATGTGATGAGGAGAGAGATAAAGAGAAATGACAACCGATAAAAGGAAAGAAAACATTTGTTGCAAATAAAGTGTAACATCTATTTTTAGTAAATGTTGCACTTAATATGAAACGGAGGTAGTAGATTTGTTTTCTCCGAATACATAAAACATTGAGCATCTGATAAGTCCATAATAACATGCATTAGGGATGTCACCTTTTAATTTTCCTAATGAAGGAGAGATTGTGTTTTGCAGAGATACTATACATTAGAACTTTGGAAACACAATATAAAATGGGTCTGTTTTCATCATAAAAAAACTTGTCAGTTTCTACAAGGAGATCACTAATCACTCTATCTCAATCACTCATTCTCCCTTCACTGTCTATCTTGAACTGAAAGCTTAGTCCCATACCCCTTTTGTTCATCTTAGCAGCTGTCAAAGGTAAAGTTCCAAACAGCGGATGTGCATGAGAGGAGAAATTTCAGTCTAGTAAGTCGATGTAGCTAGTGTCAAAGTATAAAGATAGATTAATAACCTTCTTTTCTGTTTATGGGTGCTTGAATTAAGTTCATTATAGGATTCAGCAAGTAATCAGGCCAACACATCTAAATGCCCTGATTCATATTCAATGATAAACCAAGTCCCAGTTTAAGCAAAACACACAAGGCATCTAGAGACAATTGGTGTTGGTACCCATAAAGACAGGAAACGCTTATTAGCAAAGGAGAGCTAGAATATCCTCTTATCACAGAAGATGCCACATTACCAGAAACAAAATTTACTGAAACAGCATAATCAAGGGATCCAAAAAAGCAAAGGGACGATTCACAAAAATCCCAGGATCCAAATAGCCAAGATTGGAACTAGTTCAGTCTTACCTGAATTTGATGCTCAAGAAAATTCCTCTGAGACTCAACTGAAAGATGACTGCTTTCCTCTCTCAACATATCAGTACCAGGTACTTGAATAGATGAAACAGGAAAAGGAGGCCCCTGCACGTAGGGAAAACTCATTTGCTCACTGGACATCACTTGTTGATGCTTAAGTTGTCCAACTGGACCACCCCCCTCATCAGAATTTACATTGCTTGAACCAGGCATAGCACCATGAACTTGGGGAAGTACAGCATATCCAGGTGCCCTTCAGATAAGGAGAAAATTTAAATTGTAAAGGATCTCTAATGTTGTTTATGAATTTAAAAGTCGGATGAAAAATTATTTACGCCACTGAGCATGCCAAGTAGCAGACCATAGTTAAATGCTCAAAACTAAAGTTTAGAATATCCACAGAATTCCCGTCAAATGAGCAATAGACAACTGCAACTTCAAGCAAAACCAGTCCAGCTAAAGCATACTTAAGGGTTATTTTCTACTTGGTCTTATGGAACACATACAATAATAAATTAATAAGATTAAGAGTTCATGTTATATTTTAAGACTGTGATGAGGCAATAAAGAATACCAGATTAACAGGTCCCAATTTGTGAAAAAGATTAGAAGTACAAGTTACTTGTAAATAAAACTCACAGGGTTTCCAGCTCCAATCATTCACAATAGTCTGGTAATGAGAAAATGCTGGATGTTATGGTTGCTACTAAGAGACTTCAGCAAAACACAGAGTGATAACTAATATGTTTAGAGTTTTAGACAATTTTTCCCCCTATATCAGCAAACAGCAAGAACTGATTCTCAGTTGATGCTGTTATAATACCATCATGAAATGTAACATCATTCAACTACATTGTTTGTGAGAAGCTTATACCATTTGAATCTACTCAGTAAAAATCTGGATAGCAGAGACAGTAAGAACTCACCACACTAATGTATTTGCAGACGGGTAAACAAGGGATTTCTCATAAACTGCAGCAGCAGCTGCAGCTGCCTGCAGTCTAGCTTGATTACCGCTCAAGGGGCTGTCTGTAACAGTACCACTAGTTGACCCTTGACCAGAAGTATTAGTAGAAGCTGAAGAATCATAAAACATCATCAGCAAATTCCAGTGAATGCAACAAAGTTACAAGAAGGGACTAACAATCACTGAATATATATGAATCTTGCAATATTTCATCAATGAATTGCTATACTATGTATAGTTTAGGATATAGCACAAATATACTCAAAAGGAAAGCATGGTTACCAGATTGTTGGACACCAGACTGCGGTCCATGTTGCCCTCCAGCGCTAACTGCACCAGTTTCAGGTGGAAGAACAAGAGCCCTGCAGGTTGGACAAGTATTTTGTCTTTCCAACCATGATCGAAGGCAGTGCACATGAAAAAAATGTCCACATCTCAATTTCTTGGCAGTAGTCATTTCCTCGCGACAAATAATGCAGGTTGCATCGCTTCTGCAATTGTTATAAGAGAAAGCTCAGAAAAATAGCACAGTTAAATAGTTAATTAGTGAGAAATAAATATGATGACACTAGAAAACAAGCCAATAGATTACGTGTCCAGTTCTTCTGGGGTTGCATCTGGAAAACGGTCATTCATATTTGAAGTTATCTTCCGGTATCGAATGTAATCGGCAATGCGAATCTTAAAATTGCGGAATGTTTCATAAAGCTCTCTTATCAAATGCAATGGCACACCGTAGTTCCTACACAGTTTATCAAAGATCAACCAATATCCTCAAGGAGGTATGTATGCGAAAATTTAAGCATTTAGCCATACATAGAATAAAATCATATATTACAAGTTCAATTAGGAAACTTACACAAATATAACCATGAAGAAACAAAGGTACATCGACAGGTGCAGCAAATCTCGGATAAGCTCCAGGTAGAAAGTACACACAGCCTTCTTCTCCCATTGCCCATCCATAAGCATGTCGCTCACATAGAATATGTATTTCATAAACATAGCCACCGTTGTCGTAGCAAGTATCATGTACCTAAATTATACAACAATGAGCAACTCATAATCATTGCCTCCAACATAGAGGATATCAATATTATATATCCATGAAGACTTACTCGAATGAGAAGAAGATGGACACTGAAGCTGTCTGTGTTTCAATCAAAGACTTCACCGAGCTGTATAGGAAGATACTGTCCAAGAAAAGAAGGAAGCCCATAAAAGAGACAATCCTTACATGAGACAAGGTGGGCACAGCCGGAGTCGTTTCAATGAATTCAACCCTCTTTTGGGCCAGCCAATGAAGCGACTTAATCAATAAAAGCGCAGTAACCATAGCAAGAAACGAAACAGAAAAATCCTGCCGGAAAATAGTGATGGCAAACAGAATCTCCATAACCTCCCTCCATGACTGTTCATTCAGTCTCTCAACCTCAGCCTCTCGAAGAGAACCAAGAAACACGCGTTTTGCCAATTGCCATAACGAACATAGTATAACTAAACCCATATTGAGAAGTATAACTAAACTGATCTTCGAAGTCGAAAGGTATACCATAGCAGGGTAAAACTGCCTTCTACTGTGAAATGCATGATAAACAACAGCAATTGCTGCAAACAAACTAAGCCCGGCATATGGCTTTAGCCTCACCATCATTCAAACCTAAACAACCACCATTAATCTAAGTTAATCACCAAAAAATACAAAAACTAGTTTCACACTTTCACAAAATTATATCAAACATTATATAACTTACCAAAATATAACAATCTAAATCAATAAACAATCATAAACCTGGCTCGATTTTTAACATATAGGTTTAATCAAAATAACAAAATATTAAAATACTGAGAATTGGGCATCTGAAAATAGATGATAATCTGATTACCCAATAAATAAAGCTACCCATTAATTGATTTCCCAAAAAAAATATGGGACATTGAAAAAGCGGAACACATTTATATAATCTATCACAGTACATGGTTGCATGTCATGCAAGAATCATGGAAATTAAATTGGGGAAAATTAGATGTTGTTCATCAGATTACACAAAAAAAATGCTACCCATTGATTGATTTCCCCAGAAAAATTATGGGATATTGAAAAATTGAGCCAATAATTTAATCAATAACAGTATATGGATGCATAAATCTTTGGATAAAAATAGAGAAAATTAACGAAATAGGTTAAAAATCAAAAGAAACCGATAAACAATAGTGAACAAACAAAAGGGTATTAAGAAATTAGATCGAATTTACCTGTGATTGTATCAATTCGAGCAAGGAATTGGGGCTTTCTGGGTTTAGCTGATGAGAAGTCGATTTTGATATTTGGAATGAAGAATTTTGAAGAAAAGAGGAGAGAGAAAGATGAATTTCCTCGTCACTGCTATAGAATCTACCCAATTATAAGATGCCACGTCATATATGATTCAATTGGTAGTTTTGGTAATGTTGTTTTAACCGAACCCGAATGTTTTTTTTTTTTTTTTCTTTTTCTTTCCGGGTGTTTTGAGAGCTACAAGGGAGGGGATGAGAATCGATCCCAGCTAGATCTCCTAAATCCGGAAGTTACGGAGTAAGTTTTAACCACTTGAGATATCCCTCACTCTTTTTTTTTTCCCGATACCTAAATGGATTTTACTTTGAAGGTATTTATTAATTAATTGACTTGTCCAAAAAAAAATGGAGTATCATAAAACAATGAACCTCATGAAGTGATAATACGTGTTAAATAATCACTTTGGATGTTCCGAATCAGATTGGGTGAGAACGATTCTAATTTTGAACTCGAGTCGTGCTAAATTATGTTCATGCAAGTCAAAATCTGAATCGGATATATTTACGGATTAATTTCGAATCGAATCGGGTGTCAAACCTTAATGTCCCTTAAATTTTTTTTTGCTCCATTAGGGTAATGTTACTTTATTAATTTTTGGTTGGAAACTAGTGGAATTAATAGGGTGGTTGTGAGAGTTAAGGTATGGCCCTATATGTCCAAAAATGTAATGAAGCAAAAATAAAGGGACGAATTAAAAGGAAATTAAGGCAAGCGATAAGAGACAAAAGTAGTAATAATAAATAATCCTTTGATGGGAAGTTTATCGGATGAAAATCTTGTTAAGTTGTTAGATGTTTTTTGTATTTATTATAAAGATTCTACGACAATTTTATTTTCCGATAGATGATTCAATTGCATTTCTCGTATAATAATGGGATAGTTATGGACTTATGGTAACTCGAAATTAATTTATATGCACGCTTTTTACCAAAGTATTTCCTAGGGAGGTAGTATGTCTTTGGCTAAATCAGGGGGACGTTTGATTCATTAGAGAAGTGAAAATTCGCAAAAATTTCAAACCATAGAAATTAAATCTTATCTTTCAAATCATGAGCATTCATCAGAATAGTTTGGTTAATATGAGTAATGGAGGAAGTAAATTTCCATAGGAATTTAACTTACCAAGAGGGGGTAAGGTAAGTAAATTTCATATTTTATGGTAAGTTAAAATTTTTATGAACGGGAGAGTGAGGGATAATTCAAGTGGATATAGCTTCCTCCTGGTTTTATGAGATCAATTTTTTTTTATTTTTTTGTTGTAAAGTAGGAAAAAACCTAAGAGTTTGGAAATTGGAAAAAAAAAAGTATATTAAAAATTATTTTGAAGAGACTGGGATAAGAGAATAAGGTGGTTAAATTTTCAAATTAACATTTTAATAGATCATGTGTTTGCTATTACATTGACAATGTAATCAAACTTAAACTATATATTATACGAAGTTAAGATGAGTCATGACACATATTATTTTGTGCTAAACAAAACATAGCTCACCAGTCATCACATTCTTCTCCCCTAGACCTTACGAATTACAATACTAGCAATGTATTTTACGGAATATATATATATATATATATATATATATAAAGTCTTTAAAACCTTTAAATGAAAGTGTATACAATAAAAAGGATCGAAAGGAAGAGGTTGTCGAAATATGACTTGTTGGGGTACAATACAAACTAAATATCTAAAGTAATATGTAGTGCATGGGAACATATTTTCTTCACATAATAATTCTTTGGATTATGGCCATAAGTTGTTTGATTGTCATTAAAATTTGTAGTCTGCGGAGGTGGGTGATCAAGGATCCCCTATTTACTTTCATGATAAACAAAAATCGTTTATTTAATGGTATTTTTGTAATGAGTCAACACAATATCCCATTTAACATAACATTTTGGAAAAAATAAATCAACATTAGTAAGACCATACTTAATAAAAATTGTTTGACTTATTTATAGAAATCACAAAGATAAACTTGTATTTTCGAGAAATTACGAAAAGGCCCAATATACCTAAACCCTTGAATGCTTCAATCCTTTGTCCGCGCTCTATTCCACCCATTTTCCCGCCTTCCAACCTCCAAAAGATCCGAGTGTGAAACTCAATACACCAATTAGCAGAACAACTTCCGCCATTTTTAGGGTTCAATACTAGAGGAGAGAGAAAGCTTTAGAGAGAGAAAAATGGGGGCGATAACTAGGAAGGAAGTCAGCAAGCACTTCAAGCAACGGCGTTACACTCTTCAAGCTGCTGCTCTTCAAGATGTGCTTTCCTTCGTCAATCGCGATGGAATTGATGATCCTGAAGAAGCTTTGGAACTTCTCCTTGACCTCCTGGATCAAGAACCTCGTAATCTTTTTCCTCAATTTGTAATTTATAGTTACAATTTTGGCAAATTAGGTTTATTTTTGTGATTTTGATTGATTTTTTTGGTGGTTTTTGATAGTGAAATCGTCGATTTTGGATAAGGAGACTGTTAATCGAGTGATTTCTGAAATGCTTGATGTTGATGAAGTTTCTCCGGCGCATTCTCATTTGCGTTTCATTGATGCATTTGTTGTTCCCAAATATCGATTCGACCCTACTCGGAAGGTGTTTTATGAGTAATTTCCTTCCTTTCCTTTTTTATTTTTAATCATTTGGATTTATTTTGGTAATATTTATTAGTTTATGAGGCAATTGAGCTTCAACTTTACTATTTCAATTTTTTGGAAGAATTGAACTAGGTTTAGGGGAGAAATTAGAAGATTTTGATGAGTTTTTGTATTTTTTTTTTCCATCACTGCCTTAAGTGGAAGTATATACCTTGCAATTTGTTCATTGCCAAGGATAAAGGAATTAACATCAATGAATTATCACCTTAAGCACATTGTTTTGAAATAATGGACTATAATTTGCTTTTGTGGGAGAAGTTAACCTGACCTTAATTTGTCAGTATGATATTGATCTATATCTAAGATATTTGTTGGTAAATTTGTCAAATTGACAAGTTTGACCATAAGATTTGAACTTGGTTTATTTTTTAGGGTGATAGGGAGTGTACAAAATGTCATTTATGTAATCATGTATCATGTTGAAACTGATATTGTTTTCATCGCTAGGGCTTAAGATATACATAATGTTGTATATGCAATCATGTCAAAACTGATGATTTCTGTTGATTCCGAAAAACCTAGGCAACGTGGGTTGCGGCTAAGATGAATGATATCGTTTAGAAGTTGCGTGATATGTTGTGTTGATGGTTGCATCTTTTGGTATGTAGATGTACGGGGGCACTTCCTATCCATGGTAATGCGCCTGCAAAGGCAAGTTTGTATAGAGATAGATTTGAGCTATTGGCGCAGAAACTTGCTCGCCATCCACATTTCTCAAAACCTGCTTTTGAAACCGAAGCATCAAATTTTGGATGCTGTGAGGTATGCAATTATCTCCTTTATTCTTCCCCAGTTATTATAACACAAAATCATCGTATTTCCTTTCAGTCTACTTCCTTCGGTAAGATGCATGTCCTTATACTATAGGTTTTCCTTTTCTTCTTACTGCCCCAATCCCCATTTATGTTTATTTGATTGTTCCATGCTATTGTGGGTTGGCAGATAGTTCCCATTCAGAACCTAAATTGGCAAACAGGGAGAAGGTGGATAATGGGTGTAATATCCCAGCTGGAAGATGGACATTTTTATCTAGAAGATCTCACTGCCTCTGTGGAAGTTGATTTATCGAGCGCAATATCCTTACCATATGAATAACTGTTTTATTAAATATTGCTTGTCTCTATGGTTTATTTTATAGTTTACATCTAATGGCAGGATGAGTGTCAACGTTTGGGGGGGGGGGGTTGTTTTTGTCATCATTGTTGCTATTTTGCTCTTGATGAAATTCATATTTCTTTGTTGAAACTTTTAAGTAGTGTAGAGTTGCCAAGAGAAGCAGCTGGTTAATTTTCATGTAATTTACTGTTTAGTAGGTCACCCATGAAGGAGTCTTTATTTGACGGAAAGGGATGTGTCAATGCTTCGGTTACATGTCATGTGTCATTTTCAGTTGCGAACCACAATCTATGTTTCCTTGACATGTATTACAAGGTTACCACTGGTTTCTTTACAGAAAATACAATAGTTGTAGCCGAAGGTGAGAAGCTTTCTGGTGGTATATTTAAGGTAAACTTCTAAATGCTAATTATTATATTAATGAATACCCTAATGTTGCTATTTAACTAGGTGCTAGAGTTAGGCACATTGGATGCATGATTATTTTTAACCCTGCTATTATCAATTTTTTTTTTTCCTTTCTCTTTCTTCAGCATTCTGTCTTTCAGTAAATTTTTTTACGTGCTGTTAAAATGCTTGAAACCCGAGCAGCTAGTATAATCTATGAGAATATTCTTGTTAACTACTACATATGACCAGCTGATGTATCGTTGTGGTCTTCTTGATAAAGAAAACAAATTTCTAATATAATGCTACTTGACTTTTGGCAACATTTCATAAAAGCAACTGATAGAGATTAGGTACATAAAACATGGAAATAGTAGGCATAGAATATACTGTTGTATGAAATATTGGTGATAGACTGATAGCTCTGTGACTGGGTTGAATTTTGAACTATTGGTGATAGACTGATAGCTCTGTGACTGGGTTGAATTATGAACTATTGGTGATAGACTGATAGCTCTGTGATTGGGTTGAATAAGTATTATACAGTCCAAACTCCAGGGCAACTAATGTCGGACCTCAAAGTACTCAAAGTTATTCGAACTACGTATCAGTAAAATCTGAATTCGAATGATAGGAAGATATGTGGACCTGCAGCAACCACATTTGCAAAAGGGGGTGGATGTATGCCAAAATTCATGAGAGTTCTGCGAAGTGATAATCGTTAGAGTTTGTAGGCTTTGTTTGATACTCACTCATTATGCATGACAAGCTTATAGATCATATACTTGTATCTTGCTGATGCTAGTACTTTTGTTCTGCCTTTGTTGCTTCATCTTCTGAATGTGATTCCATTGGAGCTGTACAGGTCAATACATGTGGCTTCCCTCCCATAGAGAACAGGGAAGAGTCTCTTGCATTTATCTCAGGACTGGACTTTTTTGGTTGCGGCACATTTACAAGTGAGGAGACGGTAATTCCTGCTAACATTTTTCTTTTTTGACAAAATCAATCAAGAAGTACCTTCTCTTGAGGGGCAGCAATTGTTTCAGACATTTTGACTTTTTATATTTTCACAACAGAGGAAACTAGCTGACATGGAAAGAAAAGCAGTTAATGACATGTTTGTGGTACTTTCTGACATATGGCTAGATGACGAAGAGGTAATTGGATATTAACCCTTCTACTAGTTTCCTGCTTTCTTTCTTTATCACTTTGATGAAACTCAAGTATCCCTGTTCTTAGACTATGGTAAAGCTGAAAGAAGTTCTGGAGGGATATGAAGCTGTGGAGGTGGTTCCTTCTTTGTTCATATTCATGGGGAGTTTCTGCTCTTCCCCATGTAATCTATCATTTCATTCTTTTGCTTCGCTTAGGTAAGGAGTTAATGCTTATCTCTGTTCCTTTCTCTCTTTTAACTTGTAATTTACACGATGCTAATGCATGTTCAACTTTGAATGACAAAAATTTGCACGCAGATCGCAGTTTGGGAAACTTGGTAAAATGATTGCTGAATATCCTCGAATACTAGAGCAAAGCCGGTTTTTATTTATTCCTAGCATTGATGATGCAGGTGATTTCTGTTTATTGACTAATTGTTCCTTGTGTATATCGTCTCTAATGTCCATTCTTATGTTATAGTGTTATTAATATCAGGCCCCTCGTCTGTTCTCCCAAGGTGTGCTCTTCCAAAGTATCTAACAGAAGAACTTCAGAAAGAAATACCAAATGCCCTATTTATGAGCAATCCTTGCAGGTAAATTGGTACACTCAATCGTATTAGCAGTTGCTTTATAATGTGAGGCAGCATTGTCAACGCTATATTTTTGGACAGTAATTCTTTTATCATTTTTTCTATATTTTTGGAAATTCAATTTCCTTTCTAATGCTATGCTATTATAATAACTCCGATGGAGCTGTTTAAGCATGTAGAATGAGAGTATAATGTACTTTATGACTATTCCTGACTAGTTTCCTGGTTTGGAAAACAGAATAAAGTATTACTCTCAAGAAATTGTAATATTTCGACGGGACCTCTTGTATAGAATGCGGCGTTCATGCTTGATTCCCCCTTCATCTGCTGAAACCAGTGATCCTTTCGCTCATGTGAGCTTTATCATTCTACTTGTTCTGACTGTCTTTATATCTGCTGGTCATTTTCTGTTTATTCATATAAATTATTGCTGTGTTTCCTCTGCAGTTAGTTGCTACAATTGTCCACCAAAGCCATCTCTGCCCTCTTCCACTGACAATCCAACCAATCAGCTGGAATCACGGTCATTGCCTCAACTTGTACCCAACCCCTCACACGGTATCATTTTTGCTCTTTATTTCTCGCATCATTCAATATCATAACTTGAATATCCTTGGAGAATTCAGAAACAATTTGCACCAAACAAGACTTGCAACCATAATATTGACTTGATTTTTTGCTTACATTATAAACTGTTCAACAGATAATTTTAGGGGATAGAAGTGAACAAAAGGCATTTAAGTATGGAGGAGTTACATGTTTCAATCCTGGCTCCTTCTCAAGTGACCACACCTTTGTGGCATACCGTCCTTGTAACCATGAAGTCGAGTTGTCTGCTATTTAATCCCTTTTTGTTTTCGGATAAAATTAACTTGAATAATCCGAACTATTTATCAGTTATATTCAACCCACCTTGGAATTTAATACGACGAAATTCCAAAACCTTAGGGGGTCAAATTCTCCTTGATCCCAGCTCCTCAGAATAGTTTTATGTTAATTTATTTATGTTTATAATTATAGAATGTAACTTAATATTTTATTTTAGTTTTAATTTTAATTTGTGTTACTGCCCTTCAGAGAAAGCGGCAATCTTTGTATACCTCCTTAATACAATAGAGTTATACTGTGAAATATGTACCAATTTTTGTATCAATGTAGAACTGTATCTTTATTACCGAGTACGTTCTTGTGAAATGTTTTTTTTTTTTTTTTTTTCATAATTTCGAAATTTTGGCTTTATATACTTTACTTTAAAAAAATTTGCATTATTTGGTGCAATTTTATTTTATTATTATTTTTTTCCCACTGATTTAAAAGATTTCTGATGTCTGAAAAATAGACAATTTTTTTCCAGAATTTATTTTAACACTCAGCCAAACACCTAAACAAATACCCTCCAAAGAGTTAATTTACATTTGGAACAAATTTTATAAAGTACAATTTAAACAAAATTTTTCCATAATTATTTTACACCCAACCAAACACTCCAATCACAATCTAGATCTGATATCAGAGGAATCAGAACTCTGCTCTTCTTTGCTGCTGCTGCCAACAGTCCAAAGCTCATTCAAAACCCCAATCGCTTCCTGCACTCTCCTTTGAATCTGATCAATTTTCGCACCGATTCGATGTATGTAAACCAAATTACAAGGCCTACATATACATTCCCTGAAAAAATTGCCATCATTAACAATGAATTTATACACACCAATCACATTCTCGATTTCTCGAACGAGTTTTTTGATCACCTCGAAATGAGTTTGGAGAAGCTCTTTGTTAGAAATGTCTTGTTTCTTGACATCTTTAAGAAAGCTTTGCAGATATCTGAACTTGATTTGTAAGTTGTAGACTTGTTCTCTAACTCCATACAAGTACTTGACTTCTTCGATGATTAATGACCCCATTAAATCTACCAAAAAGGCTACGATTGATTCTGCTATCATTTGCTTTGAGTATTTAAGTTTTCAGAATTGTTACATCAAATTCGATCAAAGTTACAAATTCCTCTGTAAAATAATTTCAGAACTGTAACAGTGTTAATTACCACACGAGATATTCGTGGGAAGTAAGTCGAATTTTGTGTCGTATCTTTGTTGATTTGAAGGGAAAGGGTCAAAGGGGAGAAAATACAAGTTCATCAAATTGATAAACTTGTAATGTTTATCTAAGGGTATAATTGTCACATTATGCATTTAAGTATGGGTAAGTTTGTACTTTCACTGATAAAAGAAGTTAACATTGTTAACTTTCATGAACACTGCTGTTAATGGAGGACAAAGTATTTGAAGAACGTTAATGGCGAAATCAGCCCTCTTCAATGGTGAAACTGAAGCTCGCGAGCAGCATCAATGGAGGAGGATGATACCTCTTCCCTTTGGGGTTAACCATGCCCGTTAATTTTCCACTTTCTACTAGGGTTTTCGTTTTATCCGGCGGCGAAGCCGTCGAAAATATGGTGATTGACATTGTGGTTCATAAGCAGCTTCAATGTAAGAAAGAAGAATGCATCAATGGAGGAAAGAGGAAAGCATGAGAAGCTCCAATGGCAGAAAGAGGGAAACGGCGTTAATGACGGTTTCTTGGGTAGTTTACAGCTGGATGTTGATGTGGCCCATTTACTGTTCGAGTTATTTACTAAATAGCCATTTGATAAACATAAAACATTAATCTTGAAGATCAATGGGGGCCGGCTCGTCAAAGGGGTGTTATATGATGTCGGCTTTTTAAGCTTTATTGCTTTTTTTTTTTTATTATTTTTATTTATTTAGATCGTGAGGAGAAAGGTCCTATAGAGTCAAAATCTCTCACCCGTCAGTCAACTGCTTTTTATGCAATAAAGACATTAATGCAAAGTATAATAATAAGAATTAGTCAGGTTGAGATGGTAGAGTAGTAACATCGTTTTCCTCCTCAAATAGCGCGGTTATGACTTATAAGAATCAAACTATATGTCTATATGAGTTCAATTAAAAAAATAAGTAAGAAAATATGAATCCTTGACTTATTTTTTTTTTACTTATATATTTCAATTCCCCACCTGTTCCTCTCAATCATAAATTACAAATCAAGAGAATTAGCAGTGAAAAGAGACCGAGCATATCTCCATTATTTAGAAATCACATAATCTACAATCGATTCATTGCTACATCCTCCTAAATGAACACGTGTCCTAGAATAGCAAGCTCAAGAGTATCATTATCAGAAACCAAACAACAAAACTTTGTGATAATGTTAACATAACGATTCTTTCCTTAATAGTTGTTTGATAATTTTGAAGGTGGGTTTAGTTTTAAGAGAATTAGCAAACTTAGTCAAAACTCATTTGTTATTTTAAAAAAAAAGGTAAAACAAAGTAAAAGAGCTAAATAATCAACCCATTCATGTTTATGAACATCTTATTCAAGTTCATTTTAAACTCTGTTTTTGTTCATTTAAAATCTTTAACCATTTAAAAGCTATTCCATCATTTTTGCATCCCTCTTACAAAAATCTATAACCACTAAAAGCTACCCAAAGTCTCATACCATTATATTGTCAAACATTTTTTTTCTTCTAATTAAGTAGTGATTTAACTTGGTCAAACCACTGAAAGCTAATGCCGAGCACGGGTTTAAGCTTGAGCTTAAATGAGCAAGTTTGCAACTTTATTTATTTTAATATATATTTTTTTACGGAAATGACAAAAAAAAAAAAAAAAAAAAAAAAAAAAAAAAAAAAAAAAAAAAAAAAAAAACTCCAATGAAAAATTTTGGCCTAGACTGCTAAAATTATTGGGCCCAAATTACAAATGGGTCAAACATTTTTGTTGAGAGAAAAAATAGACAAAAAAAGGGAAATAGGAGGATTCAGTGGTGAGGAGAGAGAAAATCAATGGCGTCGATTGTGCGGAACACCTTCAAGGCGATCAAGGAGAAGGGTTTGGGCAACTTCCTTCGTGAGCTCAGAGAAGAAGGTTATCTGTAAGTCATTATTTTCACATTATTATTTCATTGAAAATTTTTAAGAAATTTGTTAGTTGAATTTACAATCAAATTAGGGTTATTGGATCTCATTTAATTTCTTTTCTATTGTAAATTGGACGAGTTTTTGTCAAATTGACGCCGAAATTATATTAATTGGTGATTTTTTACTTAATTTTAAAAACAATTTTCTGATTTTGATGTTTTCAGGAGATGTCTACCGGACGGCAACCTTCTGTAAGTGTATTTTTAATTTGTTATTATCATTTTTTATTCACGAATTTTATAGCATAACAAAGTAGAATTTATTTTGATTTATTGTAATTTGTAACATTTGATGTTAGAAAAGGTTGAATCTTATGAACTTGATGCCGCAATTTTTTTCGTTAAATTTTAATTTGTTGCTATGAGCTGCCGAAAATTGATCTGATTTGAGTTGACTTGAACCAACTAACCAACTGATTGACCTGACTTGACTTCGAATCACTTGAAACTGACCCGAACTCCCGATTTGATACCTCTATATTACTAGCAGCTTTGGAGGACATATTGAATTATTGCATATATACTCTAATTGCTTGAGTGTTCTTGTTGTTGTAGATATTGACATTTACAAATTACGAGTATAAGCTTAATATTCCTTCCTAATGTCATGTTGCGTGGTTTGATGTTTTGGCTTTGGATTAACATGTTTTTGGTAGTAAATCATGAATATATTTTGAATTGGTTTTTTTTGGCTCGATGTTGTCCCCCTTTTTTTTTTCTGAAGAGAAAACCATTTTATACTTTGAATTGGCTAATACGTCGTACATTTTATATTTTATTCCATACCATGAAGGGTTGGATTCAATGGAGTTTTTGCAAGATGGGGTTGTAGTGCTTAGATGCTAGAAAAGTAAGAATTGGTTTCAACCTCAAATCCTTTTTACAGATTAAAGAACCATGGACTTGTTTGTGACTCGTGAGGCACATTAGATAAGGGTTCTTTAGTTCTGCTTCCGTCCCACCTTTTGAGCTTCTTCGGTTGTATATATGGTTTGAGAATTAATTTGTGACAATTTGTCTTTTGGGTTGATACCATAATTTTTATACGGCCCCCAAGAAAATACTTTGCCTCATATTGTATGTATATAATTGAGGCTGTGCCAAGAAAATACTTTGCTTCATATTGTATGTATGTAATTGAGGCTGTGCTTATATTTGCAATAAACCTCAAATACTGCTGTTTGAACAATTAGTTTTTTTATTCATGTATTTTTTATAACCTGAGTATATAACTGACAGTGATAACAGTTACTTTTCTGTATTAAGTTAATCTCATCTCTGTGTTTGGGCTGATATATGAAGCTTTAAAATGATATTTTGCTTGTTTTGGCCATGATTTGGCACTAGAAAGTTTGTTTATATAGCTAGTAAATCTTCCTTTTATATTTGTTCAGGCAAACCAAAATCCACAATATAGGGGCAAAGGTTGTGGGCGTTGATCAATTTGGAAATAAGTACTATGAGAATATGAATGTTCAATATGGTTAGTCCTTTCTGTTCTCCTATTTGCTGCCACCCTCTCTCCTTGCTTGTGCTCTGTCAAACTCACTATTGACTTATTGAGTGTATCATTTGGTTTTCTCTTAATTATTCACCTAGAGGTGTTGACATGGTTTTTTTTTAATTTTTAGAGCTGCATTTTGACAAGTTTAATTATATTAAATTAGGAGTTATTTTTTCCTCAAAAAAAAAAAAAAAAAAAGAGTTATTTGAGAGTGTATCATGTTGAATTTATTGCTTCCAAATGATGTATACTGTATAATCTGACTATGTGTTACTACATTGTATGCATCGTTCAGCTGTCTGAAAAAGCCAAAAATTTGCAATTCAGTAATCTTTCTGAAGAGCCAGTTGACTCAGCACTGCACTATGTCTAAATTATCCTTCATGAATTATGGAATGAGTGTTAAGTACTATTAACAAAAATTGTTTACTCTGTGCAATTTATAAAAAAGTTCAAAGGTGAACTAAAGCAACAAGGTCCTACTGTGCCTTGGACGCACCTTGGGCGTGCTTTAGTGTGCCTCTTGAATTGAGGCACAGGGTGTAAACAATTTTAAAATTCACAGAAGTGCACCTCATATGCGCCTTGTGCGCACCTCAGGATGGTTTCTCATGTTATGAATTTCACAATACACATGTATTCCAAGCCATAATCATGGCAAACTCACGTCTCTTGTACTGTCACGAGTGTCACTAGATTCTGATGATGGTTGTTTATGGGATTTCATATAGGAACGAGTGTAAATTTTCTTGTTTTGCAGGAAGACACAGGTGGGTAGAATATGCAAGTAAAAACCGCTATAATGCTTCCCAAGTGCCACCAGAATGGCATGGCTGGCTTCACTACATCACTGACCACACCGGGGATGAGGTTAGTCTGTGATCACGTGGAAGATATTTATTACTATGCCTGATGGTGTATGATGGTGCCATTATCTGACTGAATATTGATATATTTGTTGCAGATTCTTATGCTAAAGCCGAGCAGGTATGCCATTGACCACAAGGAGAACTTCACTGGAGAGGGTGATGAAAAAATTTACCACTCCAAAGGCCACACTCTCAATCCTGGGCAAAGGGACTGGACCAGGTACCAGTCATGGCAACCTGGCAAGAGCTAAACTATCTTCTTGTGCTCATTTTTGCTTGGCGAGGTTTTTTTCTCCTGTTAAGCTACCTCCTGTGATGAATAATACCCTGTTATGCTAGGTCTACTATGGTCAAATGTTTGTTGTAACTATAAGCATAAATCAGGCAAATTTGAAAACACGGATAATTTTGTTGTTATTCTGTTGTTTTATAACGCGATTAATTGTATGTGAACCTAGAGCCTTCTCTGTTTCAATTCCGTATTGCAATTTGTTACTTGTGATCGTTGTTGGAGAATTTCTCAATGTAAACACCTGCATTGTGGCCAACTTGATTCTTTTTCCATGATCGAGAATATACTCAGTATCCCATGTCTTGCTATTAATGCATTAGCATTTTCAGTTAACATTATTAATGCAGGGTAGCAATTTGCTTTAGCTTTCGAGGTTATAAATTACAGAACCAGCGCAGATAAGACCAAAAGTACGCTTATTTCCTTCATATTGAATTTTGGTTGGCCTGCTTCTATCTACTGAAGGATAATGAATGATGGAGTATTAAACCACGTTGCTTGGTTTAGTATCATACTTGTAAGCAACTTGGTGGCTGAATAGTATACGTACTTAAAGTCTCTAAACAGAAGGATTATATCGATCTATTTATCTGTATAATTTATTTTCTCCTTGGTAATTCTTTTTTTTTTTATAAATTTATTACTAGTATTATTTTTTAATTTATAAATCCTTGCAAATTGGATTTGGTCCGTGTTTACAGGTTCATTTTACTAGTTTAGGGTTATTGACGGCAATACGAAAAGAAAGGTTAGGGGCTGTTATAATTGCATTGTACTAAAGTACTAATGATACTCGTATACTAGAGTTGTGGTACGTATCCTATCGTGAAGGTAAAAATGAGTTATTTTTGTTTATAAACTCTTTTATGCTCAAATCATACAACAATGAGTCCATGAAGACATGATTGATTGATTGTAACTATATCTATGATTTTCTAAGGAAACTTTACTTCCATCAAAGTGGCAGACGTGAAAAAGATCTTTTGGGTTGAGACAGATAGTGTCATTTAGGAGAAAATGAAAGATCAATGTTATAAAAAAAAAATAATAATTAAAAAAAAAAAAATGAAGTTAACATTCCATTATGATACTCGTAAGAAACTGTGGAGTATATACATAATAACATTGATCATACCTAAAAATCGACTTTAATGGTTAATCAACCAAAATTGACTTGGCATATCGAATATTCGATTTTGACCAAAATTGTTACTCATAGTATATGATATTATTAACTACTCATGAAGTAATTTAACGAGTATTTTATTTGACCGAAAAAACAAACTTTACGCTTAAAAGTCGGAGAATTAGCTAACTACTTTAGTCATATTTATTAATCCGTAATATCAATTTTTTTTTTTTTTTTTTTTTTTTTTTTTTTTTTTTTTTTTTGGAAACAGAGAGTACTCTGTGCTTATTTAAAACCAGAGTAAAAGTGCTCAAAGTTTAAAATCCCAATCATTTTGAAATTTTGATAGGTAAATAAAAGAAAAAAAAAGAGCGGATAGAAATTTTTTTCCTCACGTGTCTCTAGAATCTAGATGACGCTTCTTAAAAATAAAAGAAAAAAAAAATATAATATAAAAATGGCGGTTCTGCTATTGAATAGCTGAAACCAACCCAAAGTTTTCCGTGCTAAAAATGGCTACCTCCGATCACCAACAACCATTTCTTTCTTCTTTTGGAAAGGTATCTTTTCTAATTGTCAAACTTTTTTCGCATCTCATTTTTCTTAAAATTGCTTGATCATTTTTTAGTTTGTGATCGGCTATGAATTTTGTTAATTTAATTGCTTTTTTTTTTTTTTGTTGTTGTTGTTTTAATTTGGAATTAAATTTAATTTCGTAATTGTTTGATTTGAGTTTTGTTTTTTCAGACTTCAGATGAATTTGATGGTGATGCAGAACATCAATCTCTCTCTAATGGAGGTCATCCTAATGAGGAATTCTCGATTATGTCCTGCATTTTACCGTAAGTGAATTTAATTTCTTTTTTATTTTTGGTCTGAATGAGCTAGGAGTGATTTACAGATTATAAATGGTGAGCGGAATTTGAACATGCGAGTTATCGTACATAGAACCTTAATTCTGTACGTTTGTAAAAAAAAAACATGATCATGAAATCGTAGTTACATGAATGTTTTAATTGAACTAGGAAATTTTGCGACCTAACATGATATTTTCTTTGCTAAACAACATATATAATCATATATGCCTGAAAGACAATAAATTGACTATCAATGGAACTTCATTCTAACAAAATTGCCCAAAAGGGTAGTACTTATTATCCGCTGAGCCCATGAGAAAACCCACGTGTGAGTGGTGTGTTGTCCCACATTAATTGAGTGTATAAGTGAGAGTTTGTATTGGGATGTGTATCCTACATTGAAGAAATAAGATAATTGTGTCCACTTTATAAGGCCCCTTATTGCCATATGGTTTTGAGGTAGAACCTCCTCGGTCGTATAAAGTGGACAGTTTTGAGTCTTGTGACGGGTGTGGCCAAGACCCGTTAATCATTATCAATTTTGTTTGTGGTGACATGCTAATAAGGTGTCATATAAGGTTGTTTATGATATTAGTTAAATATCGTGTATTTTGTGATTGGTTTCTTGGAAAAATGTGTTACCAAAGACAACTAAAATTGCGATTAGACACTTCAATTTGAACGGTGGGAGATGTGTTGCTGAGTGTTAGAGGCCTTAGAGCTTGTTAATGGGCTATATATGTAGATTACTGTGGCTCTGTCTCATGATGCTGCTTTGAGTACTTGTCGTGCAAAATATGCTCACAAACTTTGTTGTGCTGGTTATCATTGCTAACTTGATGCTCCTATAGTGCAAATATGGTGAAATGTGTTCCTTTTGTTTTTACAGCTTTTTATTCCCTGCTCTTGGAGGACTACTTTTTGGATATGATATTGGTGCTACGTCATCTGCCACGATTTCAATTAAGGTATGAGAGCGATTTGATATTTTTGTTATGAACATAACTTTTTTGCCGACCTGCATTTATCTTATAAATCGGCATTTTACAACTTATATTTATTTCTATATTGAATTTCTAGCTTCTATAAATCTATTTTATATCTTTTTATTTATAATTCTGAAAATCACACCAGATTACATTTCCTTAGTAGAACCAGACTAGCTTCATTTTAGGAAATCTGCATGTCTGCTGTGCATTTCTTGTTGTTTTGTATTATAGTTCTTATGCTTGAAAGACAATAAATTTGTCTTCTTTGGTCAAGTTGATATGGAGTACATTTCGTTTAACTTTTAGTACACTGATATCAATCATTTTATCCTCATACCTTAAATGTAATTTCATGTCACCGTTTGGTTGAGGTTTGTGATGCTTGAAGTCTTAGCATCTCACCTTGGTGGGTAGCAGGATGTCTCACTGGCTTAAGGGGCTTAACTTCTGCCTTAAGTAATGAAATTATATCTCTCAGGCCTATGTAGCGGTCCAAGTTGGCAACTTTGTGAAGTATCTACATTTTTTTTTTAAAAAAACTTAGTTCTTTTATGGATACTACTTGTATCACTTGATTAGTATGTTGGGAAAAATTAAATATTTATCTACAATTCTACACGATATTACACACGGTTCTTTATTTATCTGTATATGGTTTTTATGTAAATGGCTGTTTTTGAGATTTGATAAGCCAAATATGTTAGAATATAGTTCTTGTGCATGTTATATGAGGTTATAATTATATGGCTACCAATTGAATTCTGGCCTATGCAGACTCTCTGTACAGTTGAAGCTGTGAATTTACGAGGTTCTAGAGTGGGCTTATAAAATTATGAAGCTTCTATACTTTTAAAAAATGAGATACTCTCTCTTGATGTGTACTTGAATGTTCATTTCATAATTTTAATACAGCTTGTGAAGTATATACTTCTTTTGGAGTTTTGGTGGTTTTGGCATTTCGTACACAGTAGAGAACGATATATACTCTTAATTGGAATTTGGACAAAAGAAACATTGGTTCGGTCACTAATTCATCTCGCTTCTTTTGCAGTCACCAACTCTGAGCGGAACTACATGGTATGACTTAACTTCCGTTGAAGTTGGCCTTATTGTGAGTCTTCTGTTTTTTCTGTTCATTATGCTGAGACAATTTGCCAACTCTTTATAAGGATATACTTCGTATTATACAAATAAAGCGACATTTTAATTAATATGGCCTTTGTCTTCTGCAGAGTAGTGGCTCATTGTATGGAGCTTTGATTGGTTCTGTCTTGGCCTTTAAAATTGCCGATATTATTGGTTTGTACTTCTGCATATGTTGACTAGCTGACAATTTTTTAGCTACTTTCCTGTCTTTTTATGTGATTTATTATTTGCACATCCTTTATAGGTCGAAGGAGAGAGTTGATCACATCTTCCGTGCTCTATCTTGTTGGAGCTCTAATTACTGCAATAGGACCTAACTTTGCAATCTTGATGATAGGGCGCTTTATTTACGGCATTGGGATTGGATTGGTAATTATCTTAATAATTCTTCTTTCGCTTGAGTTTGCATGAGAGTTATGATTCTTGCCATGCTCACTGATAATTTATGTGCATATTCACAACAGTTATACTTTCACTCACCATAAGTTCCTGTCCTCTGCTCATAACATTCGTATGCACCTGCTGTGTCTTACTGCAGTTCTATGTGTATATTTTCCCGTATTCCACTCCTAGAGTGTTTTTGTATGTTAGTAGTTTTATTTTGAGGAGTTAGGGGCAGCGTTCCTGTTTTACTTTGCTGAATAAGGATCTAGCATCTTCAAAGATGTTATTAACTAAGGTTGCTGTGATGATGCAGTTTTTATATAATTATTTCTTTAAGTGTGCTCATTGCTGTACTATTATGCTATGTGCTATTGCAGGCAATGCACGCTGCGCCAATGTACATTTCTGAGACTGCTCCATCTCATTTAAGAGGCAGAGTAATCTCTCTTAAAGAGTTTTTTATAATTATCGGCATGGTTGTAAGTGTTCAGCTCCATTACCTTTGTTATTGGTTAGTTTGAGACTTTTAAGGACATCAAGCATCCTTCTCAACTAGACAACTTGATCCTCAATGCTCCTCAATTTCATGAAATTTTGCTTTATATGTGCAGCTTGGCTATCTCATTGGGAGCCTTCTAGTGGATGTCATTGCTGGTTGGCGCTATATGTATGGCTTGAGCTCTCCTATATCAGTTATAATGGAAATTGGGATGTGGTGGCTGCCAGATTCTCCTAGATGGCTACTTTTTTGTGCTATACAAGGAAAAGGAAACATGCAGGATTTAAAGGAGAATGCCATTCATTGCATGTGCCGTCTTAGAGGGCCTGCTGTCAGTGCTACAGCTGCCCAGCAAGTGGATGATATCATGGATGAACTTTCTCTTTCAGGTGAACTGAATGACATCTCTACAATTGAGATGTTTAGGGGAAAATACTTGAAGGCACTGTTTATTGGCTGCGGTTTAGTCTTATTCCAACAGGTAGCATCTCTCTGTTTGGGTTGTAATACATGAACCTGTTAAATCATCATCAGTCTGACACATCTTATCCTCGTGCTTCATAGATAACAGGTCAACCAAGTGTGCTGTACTATGCTGCCTCTATCTTTCAGGCAAGATGTTTGAGCCGAATTATTATTTTTAGCGACATTGATGACCTAGTCTACTCTTAGGGGATTTCATGTTACTGTCTAACTTTTATACAACAGACTGCAGGATTTTCTGCCGCATCTGATGCAACAAGGGTCTCAATTCTGCTTGGCTTGGTTAAGGTATATCTTTTTCAATATCGATACAGAAGCATGTCTTCCTTATAGGATTGTGACTGTACATGTCTTATTACTTGGAAATATTCTTCAGTATAATCTATTATTTTATCATTTGGAAAAATTACTAGCCAGCCTTGCACTCTAGCTACATAGGTTAATTGAAAAGGATGGTTTGCATTTGTAAAGTAGTGTTTTTTTACTTATTTCTTCTTATAGTGCATGTCATGTAACTAGTCCTTTGAGCTTATGTGGCTTATTGATTGCAGCTGGTAATGACTGGAGTTGCCGTTTTGTTTGTTGATAAATTTGGGAGAAGACCCTTACTACTTGGTGGTGTGTCTGGGATGGTAATCTTTTGCTCCTCCCTCCTAGTCTCTCTCTCTCTGGATTTATGCACATATGCTGTGCTTTTATGTTTTGAAATGCAATATAATAGCAAATTGATGCCTATTAATACTGAAGTACAAGTCCACAGGACAGCATAATTGTAAACAAGATGAACTTATTAGCTATGATTTCCTAAAATTATAGTGTTCATGTGGCAGGTGATCTCTTTATTGTTCCTTGGAGCTTATTACACATTCCTTGGTGATGCTCCGGCCATCGCTGTCATTGGTCTCCTTCTTTATGTTGGTTGTTATCAGGTATGGCCAAATATTAATCTTGCATTTTAAGTTCAAATGCTGTATTTACAAATAACTGAATCCCTGCATTACAGTGTCTTGATTTATATATTTAAACACATATAGGGTTTATAGGGCAATTACTAAGGAGTACAAGTTGTGTTGTGTACTGTGGTTTACTATCCAATAAAAAGAATTTCATAATCCTTACTGATCTTACCCGAGTTTGCAAATTCCAAGTTTTGTCTGAACTTTTTCCTTAATTTGCATTTTACTCTAGATACTTTAATATATGCTTCCTTCAGTTTCTAATTTCTAAGGTTAGCTGCCTGGTATCATCTCTTTATAGATGTGAGGATAATATTTGGGTAAAATCATCCACTGAACTGTGTTATTGATTTTATGTTGCACACTGTAATATAACACGGTGGATTAAATAATGGTTGAGACTTGAGTGCACATTCAACAGCTTCATGTTCCCCCCACCCCCACTCAGAGATTAATGTGCTACATTTTGCAGTTATCGTTTGGTCCGATTGGCTGGTTGCTGATGTCAGAAATTTTCCCCTTGCGCATGAGAGGAAGAGGAGTGAGTTTAGCTGTGCTCGTGAATTTTGGGGCAAATGCTCTTGTTGCTTTTGCATTTTCTCCCTTGAAGGTATCTCCTACAATCACTATTCTTTGATGCGCCAAATACTGATCGTTTGTAAAATTGAAAAACAGCCTGAAGTTAATTCATGTTCTCTTTTCTAAGTTTTACATATTATTGGATACGGAGGAAGAAGATGAGGATAAACCTTTGACCTATTTTCTTATCACAGGATCTCATTGGAGCTGCAAATTTGTTCTTTCTGTTTGGTGGCATAACTTTCCTCTCTCTCATATTCATATTTTTTGCAATACCGGAGACCAAGGGGCTGACACTCGAGGAAATTGAGGCCAATCTGTTGTAACTTCTTTCAGCTATTACCTTGAAGTTGTTTGAAACTACCGTACTGGTGAATTAGTAAGAGCAAATTGGTGGCAATGCCCTTTTCAATGGTGCAGTGTAACGTAGGATCAAACTATCGAAGTGTGATGTATTCTTGTGCATTCTACAATCTTACTGTACATTTGTAGCAAAAAATACAATCAGAAATTCAGAATGGCAGCTAACAAGTAGCATAAAGCTGGCCACATGGTCAGTCACCAAAAATCTCCACAGGAACAACCGTTGCTAGAATGGTGAAATTGATTCAAGTTCCTGACTATGATCACCCTCTTAGACTCTTAGTGATCGACATAAACCTCTTTGACAATTGCCGCGAGTACCCAAGTTATTCATTATCCTGATAGGTGCGTACTGATGATCCCAAAATTGAGAATGCAAGCTTTTCACTATGATGTCTCAGCAACATCTGTTTATTGCTCTCATCCGCTTCATGATGGTCCGTGCTTCATTTCAACTTTATAACCCAATCTCTATCTATCCTTAATAGCTTCACTCGACCTCCTTAAGTAGCTGCCGTGACTTGGCAACTTTGCCTAATTCTTGTTTGCTGCGTATATGCAAGCAATAGATCATATGCCACAGGCCATAATTTAAACCTACTAGCAAGCTTATTATGGTTCCAAACTAGTTTATATGACCTTAGGGATACTCCACAGATTCACTTTAATACTAGGAAAATTTCTCGAAATAGGTCTTAAAGCTTAGATTTTAGTCTTCTATTTTGGACAATTTTTTAGTTTTTCGGATCCGGAAAAAAGAAGCAGTTGGGTTGCTTCCTATGTAACTCACAACTTTGGATGCCACATGGGTGGTTGCAATTGTCCACTCTGCCTATAAATTGTCAATTTAATCATTTACGTATGCATTTTATCTTATTTCAATAACATTATTTGAACTTGGATGAATTTCGATGCATAATCATGCTTGGTCCAAAAATGTTCTCCGGACGCCAAGTTTGGAGGTTAATGCATGAAGTCATAAGGACACATCACAGAATCATAATATTGTTTGGAACCATACACGATCATAAGTCGATTACATAAAGTCATGTGACGGTCTTGAGTCAATGAATTGAAGCTATACATAAATGTGTAAATTGACAGTTTAAAGACAAATTTGACGGTTCCAATCAACCAAATGGCTTTTTAAGGCCCTTTGGAAATCCTGCCGATCACCTCAATGCATTATCTTACCAATCCCAAAAATGTTTTTCAAATATCAAATTTGAAGGCTATAATATATACCAAACGAACTAAATTTGAAGATTCTAGAACCTCATGCTAAAACACTCGAGATTGTAGTGAATGTATCACAAAATTGTAATGATAGCACTAGTCGGGCCATCCATGACACGAGCACGTCGTAGGCCCAACATGACACGTTACTGCGCGTGTCGAGCTGTGGGTCACCTTTATTTGGGAGAAGCTCGATAAGGCAGAGCAGTTCCAACAAGACAAATCACGCTAAAATCAATGAAACGTAAGCACGACTCGACATGATAGCACGTGGGCTTGAGCCGTTCATAGGCCAAATTTTTGAAAATTTCGGTCCACCACGACACGACACAACATGACACATAGTTTATAGGTCATGTCTAACTAATCCCGAAATACGTCGGCTTGACACAAGGCATGACCTGGAGCCATCATTACGAGATTGTAGTGAATGTATCAAATACTTCGTATCATACAAAGTATATGTACTAGTAGTATACAAGTATAAAAATAGATACGCGTAAAAAAAGGGCAAAAAAAAAAAAAGTAACCTATAAATTCTGGAGTGCTCGCTTTAACACAACACGGTGTCGCAAAGCCGTCGAGTGATAGACGGCTGAAAGAGTAAAGTTCCGCCATTAAAATTAGGGTTTTACAAAACAATGGCGAAATTTAACGAAGTACAGAAGAAAAGAAGAGCTTTAATTTCCCAGAATAAGAGAGCTGTTCATGGAGATCCTTACACCAAGAAGCTTAAACGCCAAACCCAGCTTCATTCTGTTTCTGGCAAGCGCAAACGAAAGAACCTCAAAAAATGGCGTCGGGTATTTATTTTATTTCAATTTCTTTGATTTGTTGTTGTTTTTGATTTTCATAGTAGGGATTAATTGATTGAATTTGTGATTTTCCCCAAAAAAATTAGGAACAAAGGGAGGCTGTAGAAAAGGGTCTTATTACTCTGGGTGATGTTGAAATGGCTCCTGTTGATGGTAAGTCTTTCTCTTTCTCTCTCCTTTTAGTTTAATTTGAGTTTTTGATTGTGGGTTTTGTTTTTAATTGTAGTTTTAGGGTTCTGATTAATTAATTTAAAGGGTTTTTGCTTGAATTTCTGGGTTTTATACCGGAAGAAATGTGTGTTGTTATGTTTGTACTTTGTACAGTGTTGATTTGAAGCTTGAGAATAGTTATGTAATGGTTGTTTGTGAATGTACCTCATGTTATGATATTATCAATATTTATGTACCCTATGGTAAAGAACCCGGCTGCCGTTGCGTAGTTATTACAGGAATGTTCTGCTGAAGAATGTTTTTGAAAGGTTCACTCACTATAGGAAAGACTAGAGAGTGAGTATTTTAGTATATTGTTGTATCATGGTTTGTTGGCGTAGGCGGTTTAGTGTGATGTAATTCTAATCTTAGTAATATCTCCGAACATGTTAAGGTGCTGATACATGCTGTAAAGAGTAAAGTTTTTGTTGGTTGAATTGCTGGATACTCTTGGAATTTTATCCCGGAATTTGGTTTTATTGTTCTACACATACCGTAAATGGGGGAGCATGCTTGCCAACATAGGTGAAGTTCAGCTCTTTGTTGGATGCTCAGTAGCCGAGTAGCATATCTAATTGTTTTTGCTTATATGTGGCTGTCATCATCTCTGTTTTTAACTGGTTTGCTGGTAGCATAATTGTGTACTACTCCGTAGAATATTAGTGAAAGTACTGAACTTGCTTTTGTGAACGGCAAAAGGCACTCGATTGTTCTAATGGAAATGAAGGGTGAAGACAGTTTCCATATATCCAGACTGCAATTGAAACTTTTTAACTTGTTGATTGCCAGCTTTACTGCATGAGCCTTTGTTCTAGTATGATGTTGGAGTGATGGACACAACTAAGTGATTATGCTGTTACTCTCTACTCTTGCTTGAACTAACTTGTAACTGTTGTGAACGAAATCCAGAACCTGCAGAATCTAAGACGACTCCTGCCAAGTTTCACTTAAAGAAGAGTGTAAAGCTTAAACACAAACAGAAAAAGCACAAAGGTAATCCTTGAATCAATTTGATCCACCTTCTCTCGATCCAAGTGACCACATTACCACAACATAAGCTTCATCAGTTTTTATATTAATGTTTGAATAAATCATACAGGTAAAGGCCGAAGTGAATCTTCTAAACCTGCTGCTGAAGCTGCTCGTGCTGATGCCATGGTAGAATAAGTATTCAAATTTCAGAAAGAATGCAGCTCAATTCTGCCTTGCTGAAAGTTCTTACCTACTAGTCTCTTGGGCATTGTTCATTACAAATTTTGTTTAGATTAAAAAATTTATGGCAGTACTCATTTCACTTGTAATCTCTTCAATTTTCACTCATTCTGTTTGTAAGCTTTCAGATTAGGAGATCGTTTTGCTGAGAAAAATGTAGATTGCAAAATTTTAAAAGCACTTTAGTATTAATGTACACAAGAGACGCCCTCTTTTTTTCTTTGCCTTAAAATGTTAAAAGCTTGTTTTTGATGTTAAGTGAAAAATTGCTCCAAAAAATACTTGATATAGTTAGGACTCTTGGCCATTCCATCACTGATCCTATGCTATACCGTCTCCTGTCCTTATGCTTTGAGTATATGATATTTAATTGAGGGGGAGTTGATGAAAAAGTAGAATAGTGTGATTATATATAGTTGTGAGAGTTCTAATATCATCACAAAGAACATTACCATAATCAATCATCTGATAATTAAGAAAATGATAACAAATCATTATATCTAATATCTTAGTGAGGAAAACGAAGATTATAAAATCATTGAAATATTCTCTAATTGCAACGAATTACAATTCCAAAGGCAAATATCTGAACTATGTAATGACAGGTCCTTAAACTATCACCATGATTCCCTGGTCCTGAAGTACTAAATCTGTAGTTTGCTATGTCTAGTAAGAATGGAGACAAATGGAAGTGTTTTACTACAGTTGAACAAGCAACAATCAATCTATCAAGTTACAATCTAAATCACCATAAATATCTCTCGCTCCTCAAAAGCCCACAGGAACAGAGTTAATGCTCCATGACCAATTCGCTACGTCTCTATCACCAATTCCCTGATAACTAACAAATCAACCAATAAAGTAAAAGAGCTACCTCCTAAATAAACCTGAATTTTGAAGAGTTCTGCAATAGTCTGCAATGGTGGGAGAATTCTTCACCAACTCCCATATCTTTGCAGTGTTTTTCAGCCAGTCTCGTTCAGATACAGTTCTTGCAAAAGAGGGACGGGCCATAGACAATATGTGATCCCGAATCCTCCACAGCATTGAATCACAACTTTCACAGCGAAGTTCCAATGGGTTATCTTTTCTTCTAGGCACCAAGAACAAGTCCAACAGTTTAGGGTCAACATTGGTGTCCTCAGAATGGTGAGATTTTGGGATAGATATATGATCATCCACAGTTGGTCTTGTGAAAGAAGACGAATGAAAGTATTGCCCAAGAACCTTCTTCATCTGCTCACAAGTCTGTGGTGAAACATCCTCATCTCGCAGTCTGCAATAAATGAAAATAGTCTTCCCAGTCAGATTTCAACGTTTTAATACCCTACTGTGTGTGTGTGCGCGCGCGCGTGCCTTTAGTAATTAGTAAACTTGCTTGAAGCTATCTGCACAAGCAAAGGAAAGACTACATGAAGAACTTTAAGATACAAAAGTAGCTGTACACTTCTCTACTTAAAGATTTCTTCAAGGCCTTTTCATGATTTTTTTTCCTTTACTATATTCATTCTCTGGTTAACGATTGTTATCCCATCATCATATCCATTGAGAATACTAACTTGGTATGTATGAAAACAGGAGTTGCCATGTATTCTTCTCCGCCTTCTAAAAACTTGTCTTTATTATCCTTATCCGTGCCTGAGCTTGAGCTTTGCAAGTGTGATGTTACTGACGAAGGATCAGGTAAGCCATGTTTCAACAAGTCCACCTGAGAAACCACACAAACTTCAATTCATATACTAGTACATTGCAACCTAGAGTAAAGTCTAAATTACTGAAAAGCCAAGATTTCTGAAATCATTCCAAAAAAAAAAGAGAGATAACTGAAATCATCAATTAATCAGTTCTACAGTCTTCAAATTACCCGATGCAAAACCTCCAAAATCAAATGTATAAGGATTGGCTGACAAAAGTGTACGCATATATATTAAACAATAACGTCAATAAGCATTTGACAAAAAGTAACAACAAATCACCACCAGCCAAAGTAGAGTAGAAGCACTACTTAGGAAGTTTACAAAAGTAAATTGACAACAAACTTAGGGAGGTAATTAGCAAAGTGGTGGTGGACTGGTGGTGGTGTCAGCTGCTAAGGATGTATGGTAAGCATCCTAAATAACTATTTATCAAAGCAGTGAACAGTAGTCTTTCCTATAAATGATGCTAGAAGGGAGCCAGCGAAACAATGCATAATGAGATGTTATGGATTGGCTAAACGGAGTCAACACCACAAGTCAACCACCGCTTTTGGTGTATACGAGGCGCGCTAAGTTGGGACAGCAAGGGTCAAGAGAAGGCAGCAACAAGGAGCAACATGACAAAGCTAATTAAAGAGGAGTTTGGGAAAGGAAGCAGCCCTCTTTAATCATGCTCTTTATGGGTTTCTATTTTAGTTAATTAATATCACATGTTTGATCTAAGTCTTGAGTATATGTATGGTAGTATTAGCATTAGCAAGAATCATCCAGAAATTTGCGAGTTAACAGTAGAGAGACTTGTAGCCTCAAGCTACTAGAGAGAGTCATAACCTCAAGTTATGTTTATCCCCTTGTAACCGTTCCTCAATCAATCAAATACTCAAGCTTTCATTCTCAAATTACAATCAATTGTGCAATTTACATTAGTCGGATTCAGTACATAACATGAGAACATAAATTTATACAGTAAAAAATTACCGTTGACATTAAACGCCACATGTTAGCTTCATGAGCTCCTTCGGATACCACCAGCAAAACATGACAAACAGAAGAAAGTAGCACACCAAGCTAGAAAGATTCCTTGCAGAAACCATAAAGAACAAGTTTAGAGCAAGAACTCTTTTGCAGATTGGACAACTAAGATACTTTGATTACCACAGAGGCCATGAGAGGTGATTGCAAGAACTAAAATCAAGTATAACTGAATCTTAGAGTAAATAACATTTGGACAAAAAGCTATTTTCAATTTGTGCTAACCTGGATGCATAGAAGTTCATGTGCCAATTCAGAAGATAAAGTTTCACCTCCTAAAACAGGGACTGTGGATGAGCCATCTGGTCTCGTCATTTCAGCCAAAACTGACGGACTAAACACAGGCTGCAAGAGCAAGTAGTAGTCAAATACAAAACAGAATTATCAATGGTGAGGCCTGTGCAATTTGAATAACCAGTTTACAAGTATAATTAAGGAATATTACAACTCTCTATATGTTGCTGAAGTAAAAGGATTATAGAAACGCTTTGTTACAGAAACAACATGAGAAAATAGATAGGTTAGAAAATGAGGAAACAAAAAGAATCACATGACTCCTAATTCCTCCTTTGGCACAAGATTTCCCAACTGTTATAATTACCAATTTCTAGCAAGTATAGAGTAATTGAGAAAGCCTAGAGTCTTATTCACATGGTTAACACCATCATAAACCAATGTCATTAAATAAGATATAGCAATCCGAAAAAGAAATTAACCTGAGTATCAAGTAGTATCAAACGTTCCGAAGATATCCGAGGTTCAATACCAGTAGTACAATGCCTAGCATTCGCTCGAGTTTCCTCGGATTGAATTGCAAATGGAGGTAACATTCCTACAATAATAATCAACCAGTCAACCACCCTTGATCATACTATATACTACAACATTAACCCATTTACATAATTTCTCAATAATAAATAATCGAAATGAAAAGTTAGCATCATTTCCCTCAATTTCTTCACTTAAATAAACAATCAATAATCCTACAAAATTTAAATATAATTGAGATGACAAAAATTACCAGGAGAAGTAGGATCAAACCCATAAATCTCATTCATAATAGTCGATTTTCCAACCCCAGGAGACCCAATTACTCCAATTACAGTAAAATCAGTATTATCAGTCAAAAACTGCAATACCCATAAAAAAGATTCAATCTTTCACAAATTTAATTCCAAAATAATCAACAAAAAAAAAACAGAAGAGGGAGAATGATTAATCATACAGGAAGAAAACGATCAAAATGGAAGTCCCATGAATCGGAGAGGAGATTAAGGGAGCCAACAGGAGGAAGACGAGACCGAATTGAAGCTGCTGATAAAGATGCATCGTCTTCTCCGGCGGCACCTCGGATGAATTTGCCGGCGGCCGAAGGACTTCCGGCGACAAGACCAGGCTTTGCTAACAATATTTTTGGTGACGGTGATGATGGACCGCCTGCTCCTCCGCCACCGCTGGAAGCCATTGTTGTCCTTCTACTGTCAAGCTCAAGTTTTTAGGTTTAAATGGGAAGATTTTACAGTATAATGGTTTTCATTATGAGGCCATTTTAGAGATTTTTCATATATTAATCAAATAAAAATACTAGAAGGGTTACAATATTTAGAGGTTAATTGCTTTTTTTTTTTTTTTTTTTTGAGGTAATTAATACAATATCTCAGCCTCATAGGGCATATAGAATCTATTTAGGGTTTGTTGTATTCAGCTTATTTTCGTTCAGTTCAGTTCAGACGAGAACTCTAACCACTTGAACTATTACTCACTCTCTCAAAAACATTGAAATTTATAAATTCTAGCGGTTGTATTGAATAACAAATATTGATCACTTAGCTACTAATAGTATGGACATGACACTTATAAATTCTAGCTGTTGTATTGCACACATTAAGATTCTCCTTCTGAAGAATTTTTTTTCAAGTATTGTATTTGTTTCTTATTATTTGCAACACATGAATTTTTTATGTCTCACAACTAGAGGTGGGCAACGTGTCGTGCCTCACCGTGCCTAGAGGTGGCTTGTACCGTGCCGCTTGTGGGGATTGTGTTGTGTTGGGCCGGTGCCGCTCGCGGGTCGACACGACCAATGCCCACCTTTACTCACAACTACCGAGTAATACTCCGTATCATTTTTGCAAATAATAAGAAACGACGACAATATATTTGTTATAAATAATAAAAAAAACAATGGCAATATATAAAAACCCAAAAAAATAAAGAAAATTTGGAAACAAAAATGAGAAAATACAAGTTTATATTCGTAATTAACAAAAAAATGTTTATATAGTGACATACTTGTAAATATATCAATAATTTTTTTATCAAATACGAGTCTCATAAATATTGATTTATTTACAAAAATGACATGTTAACTAGAATGTTTTGTTGATTTATTTACCGAATTACCGCTAAATAAACTTTTTTTTTTTTGCCTCAACCAAAATTCCTATCACACCTTGATAAAATTCCAAAACTACCCTTTTATAAAGAGTACATGAGTGAGTATTTTGGATAATTTATAAATTTAAGATTTTTTTTTTCATTCCTCCATGAATCCTCACTCCACTCCACATTTCTTCCATGGAATCCCTCCAATCATCCTTTCTCTCTCCAACTCCACTCCTCGAAACCCACAAACCCCACCTCCCAAACACCCGCACCATAACCAAATTCCGGTGCTCCGTCACCTCTGACCCATGGTCCCTCAGCGACGGCAACACCGCCCCAAAACCCCGCTCAAAAAACCCCAAAAACCCACTTTCCGACGACAACGCCCGTCGCATAATCAAGTCCAAAGCTCGCTATCTTAGCACCCTTAGAAGAAACCAGGGCCCTCAAGCTCAAACCCCCAGGTGGGTCCGCCGTACGCCGGAGCAGATGGTTCAGTATTTGGAAGATGATAGGAATGGGAATTTGTATGGTAAACAGGTTGTTGCTGCAATTCAGGTTGTTAGAAGCTTATCCCAGAAAACTGAAGGTAGTTATGATATGAGGAAAGTAATGGGTTCTTTTGTTGCTAAGCTTACTTTTAGAGAGATGTGTGTTGTGTTGAAGGAGCAAAAGGGTTGGCGCCAAGTTAGGGATTTTTTTGCTTGGATGAAATTGCAGGTGGGTTTGTTTTATTTGGGTTCTTTTTGTTCTGATTTTTGATGGCATTTTGATTGTGTTTTTAGTTGAATTGTATTGGATTTCTGTTGGGGTTTCTAATATTTGGAAATTATGATTTAAGATTGTGGCATTTGCTTATATTATGTTGTAGGCTAGAATGGTTTGGACACAGGTATGTGTCCAAGTGTTAAACATGGCCGTTTTATAATAACTTAACATGATTTTAGTTTAGGTTGAAGTGTTTGAGTGTCGTACCCATGTCTGAGTGTCGAGTATCTAACACAGAACTTGAGGTGAATCCTAGGGTTAGACACTGCTATTTATGAGTGCTGTGCATGATCTTGGTCTAGAATAAAGTGTCCAAGTGTCATACCAATGTCAGAGGGTATCCAGTATCAAACACGGTACTTGAGGTGAATGAAGAGTTTGATAAACATAGTTTGTAAGAATTAAGTTTTAGACTTTTAGAATTTGCAAATTATCTACTGTGGAGGAGATATATTTGCATGTCTTTGACTGATCTTTTACATGATAATTATTGCTGTCAAGTTTTGGCGTTTGGAAGGTTATGGTATAATAGGATTTCTTTATTCAAGAGTTGTTTTATCCTTGTTAACGAATCTTTAGGCTGGAAAATTATATGCTGCAGGGTGTGCTGCATCTCTACTCAACTAAGTAAGAATTTCTTGACTGAGGTGTGTGTGTGTTGAATGCATTGAAGAGCCACTAGTGATTCACTTGTTATATCCTTGGAACTGTTTGATAGCTTGCTTTTTACTTGGCTGAGCTTATCTGAGTTGGATAACAACTGTACAATAATGAATCTTCAATAGGAAGTTTGGAGGACAACTATAGTAAAGCAAGTTGCTTTGAGCTGACAAAGTTGATCACTACTTACGCTAGACCAAAATGAATCATTTCCGTTGCTTCATTTGATTTGAATAATGAGTATGTACTGAAGTTATTGATGCACTTGGAACAGCTGTGCTACCGTCCTAGTGTTATTGCATACACAATTGTTTTGCGTGCATACGGTCAAGTTGGGAAGATTAAGCTGGCTGAAGAGACCTTTCTAGAGATGCTTGATGCAGGATGTGAACCTGATGAAATTGCCTGTGGGACTATGCTGTGTACATATGCTAGATGGGGACGACACAAAGCTATGCTATCTTTTTACATGGCTGTGCGAGAGAGGGATGTGCTACTTTCTGTCGCAGTTTATAACTTCATGCTGTCATCCTTGCAAAAGAAGTCACTCCATCAAAATGTGATACAGATATATAGAGACATGATTTATAAGAGGGTTGTACCTAACCACTTTACCTTCACTGTTGCCATATGTTCACTCGTTAAGGAATGTCATTTTGAAGAGGGATTGAAAACTTTCAATAAGATGAAAAGCCTTGGTTTTGTACCTGAAGAGGTCACTTACAGCCTTCTGATCACATGTAACATCAAAGAAGGCAAGCAAGATGAAGCATTGAGGCTTTATGAAGAAATGAGATATCAAGACATAATACCAAGTAATTTTACTTGTGCTTCTCTGTTAAACCTCTATTATAAGAATGGAGATTACTCAAAGGCACTGTCTTTATTTTCAGAAATGGATAGGTACAAAATCCGAGCTGACGAAGTCATTTATGGTTTACTTGTCAGGATATATGGTAAGCTTGGTCTTTGTGAAGATGCAGAAAAGACTTTTGAAGAGGCTGAAAGATTGGGTCTGCTTCGTGATGAGAAAACATATGTAGCAATGGCACAAGTGTATTTTAGTTCAGGAGATTATGTGAAAGCTTTGCATACCATGGAGGTGATGAAGTCTCGAAATATACCATACTCCAGTTTTTCCAATACAATCTTGTTGAAGTGTTACAAGATGAATGGAGATCTTGGATCTGCTGAAGCAACGTTTCAGTCTTTATCCAGTACTGGAGTCCCAGATTCAAGATCTTGTAATGACATGCTCAACATGTTCTTAAGACAAACTTTGGTTGAGAAGGCTAAGAATTTCATTCTTCAGATAAGGAAGGACAGTGTTATGTTTGATGAGGAGCTCTGCAGAACGGTGATGAAGGTATACTCTAAGGAGGGAATGCTTAGAGAAGCTGAGCAATTCATTGAAGACGTAAGTGGAAATGTACATATGGAAAACAGCAGCTTTATTCAAACTGTTTCCATGATTTTGAAATCAGAAGATAGGAAGTTTGAGAAAGAAAAAGGTCACTCGTTAGTCCCTGCTTCCCTTGATACTAATGCACTGGAGCTTATGCTTTGTCTTTATCTAGCAGATGGTAGCAGCAATAAGATAGAATACACGCTTGATTTTTTACTTGGAGCTGCTGATGGCTTATCTGTTGCAAAACAACTCATCGGGAAGTTTATACATGAAGGTAAAGTTGGTGTCTTCTGGAATTTGAAATAGTGTTACGTCTTATTTTAGCATATTATCTTGTTGAGTTTTTCTTGATGATTGCCATTTAACTTGGTGTAGGTGATGCTTCTAAAGCAGAAATCCTCTGTGATCTATTAATTAAAAGAGACACAAAGGAAAATGGTGGAATCTTGGCTTCAATGATTTATTTGTATGGAAAGCAACAGAATCTGGAAAAAGTGAAAACACTGTTTTCAGCTGTGGTGAATTCTGGCAATTGCGGGGCCGAAATATACAATTCCGTGATTGATGCCTGTGTGAAATGTGGTGAACCTAGGGAAGGTTACCAGGTTTTCAAGGAATGCACAAAAAGAGGAATTTGTTTGAGTCCCTTTGTCATCAGTGTGCTTGTGAACCATCTAACAAATCGTGGTAGGGTATTGGCTCACCTTTAGTCAATTTCTGTTCTTTTTGTGATAGAAATGTATTAGTGTGTGGTTGTATATACTTGATGCCTGGATCTGTTTCTTTCTTCTAACATAGTTATTCACTTATTCTGCCCCAGGGATATATCGGGAAGCAGAGGATGTGATTAGTAGAAGTTTGCATGACAACATGGTTCTTGACACTATTGCTTATAATACATTTATTAAGGCAATGTTAGAAGCAGGTTGGTCGGGGAATTTTATTTTAAAGTCTTTTTTATGTCAAGAATATGATACAAGAAAAACAATTATAACTGTGCCTGACATAATACTTTCACAGGTAAATTGCATTTTGCTGCGAGCATATATGACCGCATGCTATCATCTGGAGTTTCCCTGTCAATACAGACGTATAGCACTATGATCAGGTTAGATAGCCTCCTCACTGAAAAAATAATGCATTAACAAGTGGAAGGAAAGCATGTCTTACTTTCTTTTAATATATTATTATTTGGTTGGTGTAGTGTTTATGGAAGACAAAAGAAGCTAGATAAGGCCGTAGAGATGTTCAACATGGCACAGAATATGGGCATATCTTTGGATGAGAAAGTTTACACTAATCTAATAAGCATATATGGAAAGTCTGGTATGTTTTTCCACAAAGTCTTGTGCCTTTCCATGCATATAATCTATGCCCCATAAGTCTCTTTCCTTTATGGAGCTGTAACTCTTTGCATATCCACCATATGATTACAATGGAGAGAACTTTTTTGCAGGAAAAGCTCAGGAAGCATCTGCATTGTTCGCTAAAATGAGGGAGGAAGGCATAAAACCTGGAAAGGTGAATTTTTCTATGTTGCTTACTTTTTGAATACTCGTTGTATTAAGAAGTGATTCATGACTTTAAACCTTTCAGCTACGGGAGAGAGAGAGGGTGGGTGCAGTTCCTCATGATATACGTATTA